AATTTTGAGATCGTAAATTGATTATTGACCTGCGAGTTTTTAAATTAAAATTTAAGATTACATTCAACTCTTGACCTGCATATTGGAAATTAGAAATAATGGGACGTGCAAACGACTTCTCCGAAGAAGTTAAGTTCAATATATATGTATAAAGCGAGAAGAGGAAGAAATAAAGAGAGAGAGAGAGAAAGGAGGGAAGTTTGCAGGAAATATGTTTTTTCATTTTTTTTTCTTTGTAATACGCTCGAATTCTCCGGTGTTCGATGCAAAGAACGCACTCGAGTTGAGCTGGCACGCATGTTACATTATTGGATTTTGGAGTGAGGCGGTGATACTGAGGCGAGGATAGGAGAGTTATTTCCAGATATCAATTTCTACACGTGTCTATGGAAAAATTATAGAATTTCATTATTCATTTATAATAAAAAGAAAAAAAAATAATTTTCTATTTTGTTTCCAATTATGAAATTATTTTTTTTGGGAAAATATATAATTAATAATAGTAGTAGTAATATTCTTCTCTTGATATTATCATTAATTATACTGCTAATTACTTTTTTTGCTGCTTAGGGACTTTTAGGAAATCTGCTTATAGATACTTCGGTTTTCGCATAAATGAAATTATAATATATTGAATAAATTTGGTGACCTACAAGGTATATTTTGTATATTTTTATATTTTCCTCAGTAACGAATTTTTTAATCACTACTTTCAGTTTTTGTCACCATTTTAATTAATATAAAACTTGTTTTTATCACTACAACACTTTTTTAATGTCCTGTTTTTTTATTTCATATTTGGAGATGTTCTCTGTTTGAGGGAAGGAATAAAATTGACGTTATGGGTTCAAAAATTAACATATATCAGGGAACATAGTCAAGGTTAGATCACCTTTTAAAGTTTAATAAGAACTTTTATTAAAAAATAAATTAAAGCTAATATAATATAATATGTATTAATACGGATTAATACCCCTTTATAAATAATAAATTATTCCTAGTTTTAATTTAAAAAACTAACCAAATCGTAGGATTAAAAAGATCTTCAGTAGTATAATGGCAAGTATCCCTATCTCGAATTTATAAATTTAAAATAAGTTGCAGTTTTAAATATATCTTTAGTTGTATAATGGTAAGTATCCCCCTTTTTATTTTAATAATTAATAAATATACATAAAATGTTCTAAAATCTTCAGTAATATAATGGCAAGTACCCCCATCTTCAATTTATAAATTTAAACTAAATTTCAGTTTTAAAAATATCTTCAGTAGTATAATGGTACACGGAAAAAGGAAAGTTGAACATGCTATACCTTTAAAAAAATTTATCCAATAATTAACTTCACTTCATATAAAAACAATAGGAAATAATAAGTGTGAAGTGAATTGAATAGTAAAATTTTTAGACAGGGATAACGGATGCACCAAAAGGTACAGATACTCTCCAAAACATTTTTCCGTGTATCTACACCCACCTCTAACCTCAAAATTTAAACTAAGTTGCAGTTTTTAAAATATCTTCAGTAGTTTAATGGTCAGTACCCCCTTTCATCTTCCTACAATTCTTAACTTTAATTAAATGTTGAGGAATCTTCAGTAATATAGTGATAAGTATTCCCATCCCCCATTTATTAATTTAAACTTAGTTGCACTTTTAAAAATATCTTCAGTAGTATAGTAGTCAGTACCCACATTTTGGTTTTTATAATTATGAAATATTTATCAAATGTTTTAAAATTTTCAGTAATGTAGTAGTCATTAGTATATAGTGACCGTCCTTAACTAAGGTCCAACACTGACTATGTGCCCTTAGTAGAATTTTCCAAAATTTATGTACCTGCAATAGAACCATTCTCGAAAAGTGTCTTCAAGTAATAGATATACAACATTACTGTTTTGATTTTAAAGTACGTAATCTTTGAGGCAATTCAAAATTAATTTCCAAAATTTTAATTTTCATTATCACGCTTCGCCAGAAACGTACGTCAGTTGATAAAAATTTGATAAAATTGAGAGTAATAGAATTTTATATATATATAGTTATATGTCTGATGTTTGGGGGTAGTGATATATAGAAGCAAAGGGAGAGGTAACATTTCTTCAATTAATTTCCGGTGAATGATTGAAATTAATGGAAAAGCTGAGGTTTGTCCGAGTCTTGTTTGGGAGCTTTCAAAGTTAGTTGATCAATTACTAATACTACTGACAGCACTCTTACTGCTAATAATTTCTATATATAAATGTATCTATATATAAATTTAACTATATATAAATCTATCTATGTATAAATCTATCAATATATATATATATCTATATATATATATATATAAAGATGGATCGAAACAAACTTCCAATCCTTGTCTACAAGCAAATGGATTCTGGAGACATTTTGAATTTTGACATGACATTGATTACCACACAGGCATTATGTTTGGTTAAAATCTATATCAATCCCATTGTTAGACTCAATCCCTTGAACCACATTGCTCAATTAAGCCCCAAACTTTATATATAGGTATATCTCTCTCTCTCTCTCTCAACTGTCTCTCTTCCCTAATCTATAGGAGCATACATATAGCGAAATGACCGATAACTATCATTATAATGTTATCGCGTGGAAAACACGCTACTCAATGTAATTAAATACCCTATCAAGATGCTTGTCAGATAAATGCTCTAGTGTGTGTACATTTTTTGCACTTTTGTATATTGACTGACGACTCTAATTTAGATTTATGGACCACATTACATCATCAAGGATTTATAATATCCCAAAAAAAAAATCACAAAATAAAGAAACACATTTCTTAAGAAGTGATTTATCATTGTGGAAAAGATTTACTTAATGCCAATATTGTCCGTTAGCATATGCGGGGATGATGTAGTGTTGCAGAGGGTAGGCGGGAAAAATAATTTCGTGATCGGACTTTGAAAGATTTATTTCTCAATTTAAAATATTTTTAGCGGAGCAACAGGGAAAAAACTATTTGTAAAACGCAATTTAGAAAACAAAATTACTTGAAGTGATGGAATATTTTCGACCTCGAAGAGCAAAAGATCTGTGCTCGGAAACAGTGTGTCTCATTTTATTTGCTGAAAAAAAATGGGAAATTCCAGATTGAAAAAAATTGGAAACATCGTTTTATATTGTTGGAGAATAAATATCAAGGATTAAATACAGTGGCATGGTAAATATGTGGGTGCATTAAATCCAGTGTATGATTCGAAGGTAACGCGATGAAAAATGGCTTACAGGATTTCGATGAGAAACGAGGTACTTTAAAACTTACTACTTTTTAATACATAAGATGGGATAAGAGAGGAATCAATAGAGTTGTTTAGCAATAGTTTGTGGATAAATTTACATTTTTATAATATTACCCCAGGGCGAGTAATAAGGATTCATGTCGATAGTCATCAAAATTAGGTTATTATACTATAATACCTTATATTATAAATTGTTTTAACATTTTAATGCGTTATATTCTATAACTTATGAGACAAAAAGAATCATATTTATTCTAATTTTCCTTTTGTTTCGTAATTTCAATATTGAACAAATGGAATGTTATAATTTTCAATTTTCTGTTATAAGAAGAGAGTGAGGGAGGAGAGAATGAGATACATCATTTTTCTTCACTTCGTGTATAAATGTATATGTGTATACATTTATATACATGACCGTGTATATGTAGCATGTAAAAGTTTCAAGTTTTATTGTATAGCATTACTAAATGAATTCTCAGGATCGAACTCCAACTCCTGGGCTGCAGGTGAACTGGTGAACTTTTGACCCCAAACGCTTCCCGCGCGCGTATCTCAACTCTTACACCCGAACTTCATATACACTTGAAGATTCTAATAGGGCTCTAGTTAGTTTTACCCGTATCGTCAATCAAGCGTAAAAAATAATATTTCCTAACTTTATAACGTCTTCGTCGCGCTATCCAACATTCCCAAATGAAAATTTATATTTTTAATTTAAATTTTATGATAATCCATAATACTGATATAACTTTCGGTATTTTATCTGTAATTACATTTCAATCAATGTCAACATGTGAATGTACTTTCATACCCTGTATGGATAATAAATTACACACCTGTTTAATTCATGAAATTAAGCTGAATAGTAGTTTCAAACCTATCTTCCGTAGTATATAGTCAGTAGCTTCACTTTTTTAGTTTTATAATGATTAAAAATTAACCAGATGTTCTAAAATCTTTTGTAATATAATAGACAGAACACCCACATTATTCAAACAATTCTTAACTTTAATCTCATTTTCAGTAATATAATTATCTTCAATTCATGAATTCAAACTAAAAAATATATCTTCAGTAGTATAATAATAACTACCCTCATCTCTAATTTATAAATTTAAAATAACTTATAGTTTTAAAAAATCTTCAGTAATATAATGGTAAGTATCTCTTTTCTTCACTGAACACTTCGTTACTATATAAAATCTTCAGTAGTATAATGGTAAGTACCCCCATCTTCAATTTATGAATTTAAACTAATTTGCAGTTTTAGAAATATCTTCAGTAGTATAATGGTCAGTATCCCTATCTCCAATTTATAAATTTAAACTAATTTGCAGTTTTAAAAATATCTTCAGTAGTATAATGGTAAGTACCCCCATCTTTAATAATTTAATTTAAACTAAGTTATATTTTTATTAATATCTTCAGTAGTATAATAGTCAGTACCCCCTTTTTCTGATTCATAAATTCAATTTAAATTCTAGTTCTAAAAACATCTTCAGTAATATAGTGTAAGGTATCCACATTTTTCATTTTAATGTTCCTTTCAAATTTCTGAAAATACTTGATGCAGAGTTATAATTGTTCTAAACTATTAGTTTAATGAGGAGAAAATCGATTATTACTATCTCACCATGTTCTTCTAATTAGTTACTCGGTAATGTAGAATAATATAATATAAAAAAATAAAGAATAAAATTTAATTTATAAAAAAAAATTGACCTATAACTCACCATGACTTGCTGATGCCGAATGAAGAAATGTGACAATTATGATAAACACTGGATTGTAGGTTTTAGCGTGAAATATGGATTCCCATATTACGACGAGGGAGATGTCTCCATTAAACGTTCAATTTTTCAGTGTCTCATTAAGACGCAGTCAATCATTAGTTTCTCAGCTACTTCCCTCTCCGTCACTGTAAGCATACAAATATATATTATAATTTAAATATATTGAATATCAATTTAACTAAAAGCTTTCGTCTGCATATACAATAAAAAAAAATGATTTCATATTTCATTCTATAAACATATAAATACGCATACGTATAAAAAAATATATGTCAGCAAGGAAAAAAGCATTCTTATTATATTTACCCAGAAGGAAAATCTTTAAATTATATAAAATGTAAAGGAGATAATATATTGATGCTAAAGTGTTAAAATTAGAATACAAAAGGAGCGAGAGTGACAAAGGTCGAAAGATCACGTTTTTTAATTAAAGTTTCTTTTTTGGTGATTGATTGAATAATTAATTAGAATTCTAATAATATTTTTTCTATATTTAGTTTTGTCTGAAAATCTCCTTAGTTTGCAAGTAAAAATTTAAAAAATTTACTGTAGAATAAATTTTATAAACTCTATAAATTTTATAAATGTTACAAACTTTATCTAAACCCGTTTATAACAAATAAAATGAAAACTAAATAGAGTAGAAACGAACAGAAAAAAAAAAGAAAACCAAATGAAAAAGCATAGAACAAAGTAGAACAGAAATCAAAGACCATTCTGAAATGGTAGGTATTTTTTTTAAATAATTCCTTTTCGGTCATTATTTTTTCACCTGGTCGACAAGCTTTTAACGTAATTCCGAATCGATTGTTGACATTTCCCCTTCTTTTCTCTCACTTTTTTATTTTACTTTTTTTTTTTCGCTTTTAATTGAGAAAACCGATTGTGAAAGCAATTAATGAGTTTAATCGGTATATTGATGAACGGAGAGAACGGCGGTGGTGACGACAACGAAGATCAAATTAAATCGCGACCATACATCTATTCTTTTTCTCGGCCCTTCCACACCGCAAGAGCCAACAAAAGCTTGTTAAAACTTATCGTGTTGAACGACATTCAATTATATCTCTACGGGTCAAAGTAATTGCCATTTTCTCCATTATATGTATAATAATAATAAGAATGGAATTTATCAAAAACCTGATATATGCAATTTAAAAACTAATTTACGTCGTTACATGTTAAAACGGAAGAAAATTTATTTTATTTAAAAACAAACCTTATACTTTTAAAATATCAGAAATATTTAAATGAATCAAACAAGTTAATGTTGATAATAATCTAAAAAGTAAAATAGAAGAGATCAGCGGTCACCTTTCTAATATTTAAAAATAGTTATACGTTTAAACTACTATAATCGATTAATTAACAAAATTGTTAATAATAATAAAATCAAGGTTTATTATTAACGAAAATAATACTATTTTAGATTTCTTATAACAATATACTAATTATTTGTTTATTAAAATAAAATTGTGATTGACAATTTAGAATTTTGTGGAGTGGATAGTTAAATGTTTTAAACGTGTATACAAACATGTATATAATATATATACATGTATATATATATATATATATATATATATATATATATATATATATATATATATATATATATATATATATACATGTATCCTTTGCTTATAGTTCGATATTGAATGCTCTAATTGTCTGACCACAGGCCGACCACTATCACTGAAACAGCCGAGAATCAGAATTCAGCAGCGGCTACATGTGTACCAAGCGATGCTGCATTTACCTTGTTCGCAATTAATATATTTTGTCCTGTTACATTTTATTTAACGAAGATTATTTATTTTGAAAATCGGAAATTTAATTTGCAACTCAACCTGAACGTATTATTTATAATTATTAAATATATATAAAATGTCATAAGATTTTCAGTAGTATAATGGTAAGTACCCCCATCTCGAATTTTTAAATTTAAACTAACTTTCAGTTTTACAAATATCTTCAGTAGTATAATGGTAAGTACCCCCATTTCGAATTCATAAATTTAAAATAAATTCCATTTTTAAAAGTATTTTCAGTTAGTATGGTATGTACATTATACCTTTAATTTGTAAATTGAAACTAAATTGCAGTTTAACAAATATCTTCAGTAGTATAATGGTAAGTATCCCCTTTCTTCACTGAACACTTCGTAACTACAATCTAATATTTTAAAATTTTTAGTAGTATCGTAGCCAGTACCCTCTTTATTATTTATATTTTTCTTTGATATTAATAAAATGTTTAGTAATTTTTAGTTGTGTAATGGTAAGTACCTCCATCTCCAATTTATAAATATGAACTAAATTACAGTTTTAAAAGTATCTTCAGTAGTATAATAATGGCCAGTATCCCTTTTGTGTTTAATACATTCAAACCCAAATTGAATTTTAACAATATCTTCAGTAGTATAATGGTAAGTATTTCCACCTTCAATTTGTAAATTTAAACTAAAATTACCATTTTAAAAGTATCTTTAGTAGTACAATGGTAAGTGCCCCCATTTCAAATTTATAAATTTGAAATAAATTCCAGTTTTAAAAGTATTTTCTGTAGTATGGTATGTACCCCTACCTTTAATTTATGAATTTAAACTAAATTGCAGTTTTCAAAATTTTCTAAATAGTATAATGGTCAATACCCCCTTTTTGTTTAATAAATTCTAGCTAAATTGCAGTTTCAAAAATATCTTCAGTAGTATAGTAGTGAGTATCTCCTTTTTTATTTGTATAATTTTTAAATTTTGATCTTATTAAAATCGGGGTGTTGTACTCTTTAGAACAGTTACCTCACTGCGATCTGTTGAGACTCAGTTTTCGACTTGAGGATTCGTCTTGTCAGCTAGACGGGACCCCATGATATATGATATTCCATAACTTATATAGAATATATTAAAACGAAAAAGATGAAAAACTAGAGATAATATAAATGTTTCCTTAAATTGAAAGCTGCACAAAAGAGTTACTTATATGGCGTGAAGGTTCGGACATACAAAAGCCAAAGTAAGGCGCTTTACAAAGCGACGGGAAGATCAACTATTATGGTAATCAGTATTGCTGAAGGAAAAATTTATGCCGACGTGGTGAATAAACACCACAAGGAAATCAATACAGACGTCAGCTATCACGAAGTTTGTATTATGGAAGGAAGGTCTACCAAAAAGGATCTACCAAAAGGAGTATATTAGAAATTTCTATAAAGTTAGGACAGACATCCAATCTAACAATTTCTGATGATGAGAGTTGTTAGCATAAGTCGCACTGGTAGAGGACTAGAGGTTCAAACCTACCCGTAGTTGATTATTCCAAACACTACTTTTATGGTACCCTAAAGAAAATGATGACAAGCCGTCAACAGATAGGATGGACTTTAAGTTATGCTACTTTAAGTTAAACTACTTTAAGAGAAGAGTCATATTTAGCAGACTAACAAGCATGAGAAATAGAAGTCCAGAGTAACTTTTCCGAAAACTAATCACGTCTCGCAAAGTGAAGATCAAGACCCAAATGTGAAATCTTCAGAGTGTTAACAAAAACACCTACAAGCAAAGAAATCGTTCAAGGTGGAAAAACCACACCAAGTCGACAAAGCCACAAAAAGAGCGCAAAACCCCAACTATAAAGTCCTCACTATTCTCTCTTCATTCTCCTAGGAAAGTTCTACTCCCCTAGGTGAATTAATAGCCCCAGCAAAGGATGTTGTTTTACTGGGTCAACAAGGACAAGAGCAACCAACCTCCCTTGATAACTCCGCATCCCCGATATTTGAATACCCAGTTTTGCGAGCAATTTTGTTTTTACAACTTCCACAGACAATAAAATGTGGTCGAAACATGTCCGTTTTCCAACAACCGAAATAAATCAAACAAATACTTTCCAATTTATTAAAAAAAAATGTACAAAAATTAAACAAGTATTGATTTTTGATTTTCAATTCGCCAACACTTCCACAGTACAATTTACGTTTTGTTCCCGACAAAACACACGCATATAAGGTCACAAGCGTTTAACGAACCGCCACCCCCTTTGATTCAATACGTTTTGCATATGTTTACCCTCGTTAAACAATGAAAATAAACAAATACCATATGGACACAGCAGTGAATAAGCATTTAAATCAAATTACACATACAATACTCATTATTTTTTTTTTAACAAAAAAGAAAAGAAAATAAAAACAATAAATAAAAATTTCGGTAAATTCTCTTCCTCTATTTCATTATTAATACAATGATCCTCTACCCCATATAATACAAACTTTCCTTATTAATAGGTACATAAAAATTTCATAATATCAATTTACTGGGGGACTTCATGCAGTATAAATTATTACTGTTCTTCTCTTTAACAAACACAATAAACTCAGAGTAAAATCAATAAAATGACGGAAAAGAAATAAGCCCCGATAAAATTCTCATATATTTATGCAAACATAAATTCTAAGACACCAAAATATATATTATATACTAGATGGATATTTTGAAAATAAATTTTTCATAGACGGATCGGGTGCTTTTTTTCATGTTTGCGTAAATAAATTTAATCGATGCATTTTTAAAGCGTATGTAACATAGTAATGGCAAAGGGGTTAAAATGATAATAATGCCCGAGGAATAGAATAATAAGTATAGAATATAAATATAAATATAAAAATATATAACAAAATTTTGAAATCAATTCAAAAGATTAATTTTCAATTTTTTTCCAACTAGAGAATTTTGTTTCTTTTGCTATAAATTTAAATAAAAATAGAATTGAAATTCTGTTAAAGGTCTCTCTCTCTCTGTATGACATATGATATACTTTTTTGAATCACGACTTTTTATTGTTCCACAGTTTTTTCTGTGGAAAAATAAAAAAAAGTAATTCAAATTCAAGGATTTTCTAGAGGATAGAAGCAAAATCAGTTCATTTTTATAAATACTTATGAGTAATAAATAACTTTTTAAAGTATTATACTTTTTGTTGTTTTTAAAAATTATAACTCTGCATCAAGTGCCTTCGAAAAATAATGTTAATTAAATGAAAAATTTGGATACTTTCCAATGTTTAACTGAAGATATTTTTAGAACTAGAATTTAGTTTTTAATTTATAAAACAGAAAAGGTACTGAA